CGCGGGAATTGGGGGATCTCTTGAGTCTTTTAATGAAGGTTGTCCTCAAAAAGCTGAGGTTGGCCGGCCATGGCCTGTTCCACGTGGCGTACACATCTGAAAATCAGTAATACAGCTTCGCAGTCGCCAGTGAACCTTTTATGACTTCTTATGCCATGTAATCGTAAAGATCCGCCTTCACCTTTCGGTCCTTGAAGTTTATATGGCGGGTTGTGTCGTCATCGGAGATAATATCAAAAACTTACTTGCAAAGTTTTCCACATCGTGGCCGCCTAGACAAAGAATGGGAAATATTATATACTAGCACAGTAATTCGTCTCTGTCGTCCGGATTGCCTATATGGACATTAAGCCGCCGAAGGTTATCTCTAGTGATCACAGGCCTGCGAAGTCAGTTCCGTGTCAGGTCATTTGGTACACGATGCGGTGCACTCTCTGCCGCAACCTCTACTGAGCGTATGAGCGACAGAATGTGACGCTGACCATCGAATAGGCACGTTTTGATTTTGGAAAATAATTTCAAATTCTCGCTAAATAGAGCATAGTGCATGTTCCCCTCCACTCCTGTGTGACTTACGTGAAGGCCGTGGGGGGAATCTAGGTAATAAAGGTCGAAAACGTAAACACTCCACTGGATTTCTTCTCTCGCTCGTAACGTTTTTCAGTAATCATAAATACTGGCTTAAGTAATGTTCTTCTCCTACAACGATTGAAACCCGGGGCATATTGACAACTCACCGGAGTGGGCTGGATGGCATTTCGCCAACCCCATCCTTAATTGTTGTACTTTTATCGTCGCTGATAGCTTAGACCAGCGCTGCTGAAGTCCATTAAGTAATCAACGACCGCACACGATGAAGTATGTGGGAGTTAATTGAAAACAGCTGCTAATTCTGCAACTATGACCACTGCCTCGACGCAGCACTCGAAAACCACTCGCTGTAGGGGGCGCTGTTATAGGGTTCACGAGCAATGCCCAGCTACGACAAGGGAGCTTAAGTGGAGTTTGTGGCACGATCTCGAGGGCGTTGCCAACGGTCAATTAGTTTTATAGAAACATAATTGTCTAATTTATGTTGACCTAACTGTGAAAAATTCGGCGACCTTCATGGGATTCAAACCCGCAACAGCAAGTGGAAGGCTGGAGTACAGCCAACGCTATAGTTACCTGTGTTAGTGATCCCTACCGTGATCCGTGAGCTTAATCACATTTAGGTCCGGTTACCCACCCAGCCAACTACAATGTATGGAATCCTCCACATCTGATACAGAAAGCTAACTGCCCACGCAGGAGTTCCTAAGTAGGCCATCTAGAATCCACCAGATGGCTACCAGGCCGGCGTAATTACTAGCTGGCTAGAGCGTTGGCCGTACTCAGGCCTTCCCGTTGATGTTGTGGCTTCGAATACCATCAAGGTCGCCAAGTTTTTCACAGTTCGGTTAAAATGAATTATTTAAAATCTGCCAAAACATCTATTAACACAATAGTCACCAATAGGAAAACATACGTATTTTAAAAAACCGGAAGGTTGAGGTGGGCAGTGCAGTGAAGTGTCAGTGTCTGTTTTAAACATCTTTAGCATAGGATACTTCGGAGGATAATTCAAAATGTTGACTATTGTGCGTAAATCTGTGTACACTGTGCAAGAACTTCCATCCACAGTCGTCAGCACGTTTCTAGCACACACTAACTTCCACTCAAAGTCCATGCACCTATTAGCTGGTGGAATGTCTACTCGGTAGCAGGAGGTTATGACTCACTGATACTGTTGGCAGGTCTCCTTGCCAACAGGCAGTGGGCCATCAGTTATGCTCCTGGAGTACCGAACGTATGGGCGGTTCCGTCGGTTAGGACTTCTGCCTCGCAAGGTAAGCGA